ATAGTATTATTTATAGTGCAGGTACTTTGTGTAAATTTGTACATAGGCGATGATTTATGTGAAAGTTGGTCTTAGCTCTTTTACTCCACATGAATTTGAATTGCATCAACGTTACTTTACCATGAATTCTGAGCCCACGAAGATTAGAACAGTAGAATATGACCTGGTCTAAACTACAACATTAAGATCTTGGTCTTTACAAACAGCTTGTGATAGTTACATGGTAATTAAAATGCATAGAGTTAGTGTACAAAGAACCAGGAAAACAAATTTAAATCAATTGCCTGAGGGTTTCGTTGTGAAATCTAATCTTAATAATTGGCATACCCCTAATTAAGCATGTTAGCATACTCTAAAGATCTAGACCTATATCAATGAAGTTCAAGAGCAGCCACGTATCTCCACTGTACATTAATTAAATATTATTTTAATGTTTTTTTATTGATTTGGAAAAAGTTTAGGAGTGCGGTCAAAATAATGTTTGTTTAAAATATAAGGTTTTTTTTGTTTAAAATTAGTTTTTGATATATTTTTTTATTTTTTTGATACGATGATATTAAAAATAAAATTTTCAAAATAAAATAAAAATATTATTTTAATATTTTTAAACAAAAAATACATTAAAACATAATATCTACAGCAACAAACCGGTAGAAAGCTTAACAAAATTGGGAGCGAGCAAGCTGCGATTCTGTCTTCAACTCCATGTGCCGGTCGCTGTTCGTGTTTCTAGATGAGAACCCTTGTTATCGACGTGTTAAAGAAACAACAACACAAGAATATATGGGTCAGCAGTCTGATGCCGGAAACAACAACGCCATTTTAGTCCCATCAACAGGAATGTTTAACTTCCCGTGAAATATACATATGCCCCGTTAATCTATCTACTCTTGGAAGTCAAAGAGTTGTTCTTTCTTCCTTGTCTATAAATGATGGAGAAGGTTAGAACACACTTCCAACGTTGTAAAACTACTGTCCAGAAATGTGCAAGTGAAAGAAAATATTGGAGGACCACCCCCTTCTCTCCTACTGATTTTATATCTTTCAAGAACACAGTGATCACCATTCAAGTTCTTTTCCTTTTTGTATTTCTTATGATTGAAAAGAAGTTCTTTGAAAAGTTCATCTTAGTTATAACTAAGATGTTATAGGGCTCTTAAATTATAACGTATCTTTTATCATAAATCTTTGTTTTGTGGTCTCACTAACACTAAAGCACGTACGCACGTAGCCTGCATCTCTTCGCCTCTATGATAGCCTGCCTATGAGTTTAGGGGAAAGATCTAGCATTAGTGCCCGCGCTTTGCCATGAAATTAAATAATTTTTTTTTTGCACAAAAGAAATAATAACTGCAACCGAATTAAAGAGAGAGCTTAGCAAGAACAGAGAAATTTGATAAATGTATTTAGTGGCAACCTCTAGCCAACCTTTAATTGCTTAACTATGCTATATGATCTAAATTCATTCGTACCAATTTGTGCTGAGTGGCCACCATGGATTCTAGCCGAAGATTTTTTAGGATGCAGCCATAAAGGAAAAAAAAAACGATTAAATTGAGAAAATAAAAAAATATTTATTAAAATATTAAATTGTAAAAAAAATCAATTAGAATTTTGAAAAAACTGAACAATTTGGTTTTATTTTTATAATTCTGAAATTTAAAAAATCAAACTGAATCCAAACTGAAAAAACTAAAAAAAAATAGATAAACCAGAAAAAACTAAGTTAAACAAAAAAAATCTTGCCAAAACTTAGCTAGACCAAAAAACAGAGCTAAAACAAAAAAATTGAACTAAAACTTAAAAAATTAAGCTAAATTGATTTGAATCGGTTTTTGTTCTAAAAAACCAAACCAAATCCTATTGATTTGAATTGATTTTAGTTTTTTAAATTAGATTTGGTTAACTAGTTTTAATTCAGTTTGAATTTTAAAAAAATTTCAATTTAATTATTTTTGAATAAAAACCACACCAAACTAAATAAAAAATAATCATTAGAATATCAAGATCGTAAATATATTTTATAAATATATAGGGGAGGCCAGGGGAGATATATGGGATCAAATTAATTGATAGCCCAGGGGACCAATTAGCAACACCCATATATCTATCTTGGAATCTTAATTACGACTCTACAAGCATGAATTAATTGGAATGCAAGGCATTTTGATCTTGATTGGAATACAGTGCGTTTTTTGCTTGAGTATTGATGAGGTTCATTGAAAACCTTACGAGGATCACCTATAAAAGTCCCTTCTTGTGATTAGGGACCTATATATAATACTTAATTTGATACATGCATTGGCAGAATTATGACGACTTAAAAGCTTGTGCTTGTGTGTTTAAAAATTAAAGATATCAACTTGCATAGACATTGGTAAAGTGAACAAATTGTTGCGATATCTGTTTTTTTTTTAAATCATCTAGGACAACATTGTTTAATAAGAGAGTATTTGAAAACATGGGACATATTTAAAAAGTTCAAAATTCTTTTTTTATTAAAAGTTAATATTTTTTTTATATTTTGAATTGTTTTGATGTGTTGATTTTAAAATTAATTTTTTTAAAATAAAATATTTTATTTTAATATATTTTAAAATAAAAAATAATTAAAAAAAACAACACCAACTATATTTCCAAACAATCCTAAATAAATCAAAATGAAATGTTTTGTGTGCTATTTACTGGATCTAGTTATAGTAACAGCTGTGTACAACGTAGGAAGAGATGATCAAAATCGGGGTATGTTTTTCTGGGGCTTGGGCCTTAGCAATGTAAGATAAATACATGACGTCGGTCCCTTACATGTAACATGCACTTGGAAGCCTCTTTGTTATTTAAAGGTAATCTTTTTCCTCTTTTGTCACCAAATTATTATTTTTAAAACCATGATATTAAAAGAAACTAATATGCCTTGGAAAACAATGTTCATGCAGACTCAAGTTTATTGTTAACTGTAATGGTCTAATGATAATTTTGTTATTCCCATCAAATATCATTGAAAAAGCTATTAGGATTAGTATGATATTTTCACATGGATAATTGGTTATTATTAGTTTAATTGTGGATATTTCAATCTTTTTTATATTTTTAAAGCATAATTAAATAATTAAATTATCATTGAAAGTAAATGTTTTTAAAATAAGTATCCAAGAGCTATCTTGTATTTTTCTATTTGTGTTTTGGTTATTATTAGATTGATTGAATGGCAATTTTATATTTTAATAAATATAAAATATAATTAAAAAATGGTTAGTGCGTGTGTTGTGTGTGGGAGGAGCTCAGTGTCTTCTAGTTGCGCCTTTTGACGGCCAAAAAACTCTTTTTCTTCGTGCTGTTAGATTTTTCACAACATATTTTTTTATTTAACTTATTTAAAACTCCGGCTCTCTTATTGATTTTATATTTTTCAAGAACACCGCATTTACCATTCAAGTTCTTTTCCTTTTTGTCATCTTAAGACTGAAAAACGTTTGACCTGCAGTAGGGGCCGGCCAAGAGGCCCCAGAGAAACTTGTCGTTGGCCAAGCTCTTAGAGTGAAAGAGCAGCGCGAGCTGTATTGAAATTCAATTCTCGTGGGGAGTAAAATCATTTGCCGACGATTTAAATATATGATAGGGTATATTGTAAGTGGTAAAGTGATTATATTGCCAGGAATCCACTGAGATTCAGTTTTATATCATTTCGATTTGATAAATATTTTGATAGTTATCCAAAAAAAGATTGAAAAATGTTCTCTTAACAGTGCAAGAATAAAAGAAGTAGAATGTTTTAGTTAACTTGCTTGTGTTCATATCTTATTCCACACACAAATTTGGAGTGGTAGAATTCGCACTTAACTGGTGATTGTCGATGCTTGAGTCCGGTGGGCACCAATTGTCAGCGTCATATATAAACCTGGACTGAATTGGCTTAACAGATCAATTCGATAACTTAGAATTTGGTCCAAACAGGGTTTCAAAATAAACATAGTAGTAACCGACTTAGTTGATCTAGTGGGTTAAATTATTATCATTATGTCATAATTATTTGTTTTGTGGTCTCATTATGAACATGTAAAATATATCCTCCACATAGTTGCCGTCGTTTTAATTAAGCATGTTAGCAGACTCTAAATATCTAGACCTATAACAATGACCACCTCGATCAACCACAAATATTTATTATACATCAATTACATTTGGATATTTTTTGGAAACTTTAGACCAAGCATGCAATAATCTTTAGAAATAACAACAGCAACTGAAAGAGAGATCTTAACAAGAAGAAATAAATTGGATGAATGTATGCAGTAGCAACCTCTTGCCAACCTTAAGTTAGTTTATTGCTTAAATTATGCTATGTGATCTAATTAATTCATTCTCACCAAGTTGTGCTGCATCAGCCTCATGAAATCATGCAGGGTTCTCTGCGTTATGTCTTCTAAGTTGAGAGTGGACGTTTCACTTGCAATTTTTCCTTCTAATAATTGGTGATAGATATTGTATAATTTGACAGTTGATTTTGCTTGCAATCACTGTTTATAACGAATACCTTGCCTACAGTTACAGGCATAGTTTTAGGAACTGTTTCAGTGGCTGGCCTGATTTAAGGTTTAAGTTCCAGGTTTTGATTGAGTTATCAAATTAGTTAAGTTAATTTTTTTAAAATCTAAATAATATTATTTTAATAAAAAAAATAAAGTCAACGAGTATATAATTAGATTTTAACTAGATCTTGCTGGGTCAAACAAATTACAGGTTGCATTAGGTTTTTTTTTTCTTCAATTTAGTCCAGTTTCAGCTTCGGATTAACCAAATCCTAAATCAATAAATCAACTCATTAGATCAGACTAGATTTCAAAACTATAGTTACGAGTTTTAGGTTTTGTTTCATGGAAAAAAAATAACATAATTATCATCGAGATTATATATAAAAAATCATAAAACCAACAGCCTTAACCCCATGCTATTCAGCATAGAAAAGAAAGCTGCAGCATTCGCGGCTACATCCATTAGAGGTAAATTCTATACCTATGCGAGAAATGGATGCACTAAATAAATAATGTTGTTCAATAATGTCAATCACTGTAGAAAAATCCTGAGATTGGTGTCTTAAAGAAGCAGAATCATAAAGCTTTTGTCCTTCATAAAAAAAAAAGAAGGTATTATGTTAACTACTTCAAGTTGTTCATATGCAACCAAAATATATTACTATGAATCAAATAAAAACCATATAAAATATCCTATTAATCAAATGATAGTTTAATTTTAAATTCAATTCTCACCCCCATAAACTACCTTTGTAGTCGTATAAATTGGGAAGCTTCCTTCCCTGTTTTCATCATCAATATGCAATTAACTCCTTATTGAGAAACAGATAAAGAGAAGTTAGCTATGGCAGCTTTATCCTCCAATTCTTTAGCTGAATTCCTTCTACTTCTTGTTGCCATTAGTTCATACTTAAACTCTAGCTCAGCTGCTAGAGTCACCACAAAATCCAGCACAGAATTCATAAGAACATCTTGTAGTACAGCAACTTATCCAAGACTTTGCTATACTTCCCTCTCTATCCATTCAAGCACGATCCAAACAAGCCCTAAGCTCCTAGCCAATGCAGCCCTTAACGTGACACTGTCATCAGCTAAATCAACTTCAACCACGATATCGACGCTCTCTCAAACCCATGGCATGAAGCCTAGGGAGGTGTCCGCCATGAAAGATTGTGTAGAGGAGTTGAGTGACGCGGTGAACGAGCTTGGAAAATCCATGGATGAGATGAGTCATGCTAGACAGTCCAACTTTCAGTCGATGATCGATGACGTACAAACTTGGGTTAGTGCTGCTTTGACTGACGAGAACACGTGCAGTGATGGGTTCGCAGGAAATGCCATGAATGGGAATTTGAAGACTTCTGTGAGGGGAAGGATTGTGAATATAGCGCGGTTGACTAGCAATGCTTTGGCTTTGATCAACAATTATGCCTCAGACCCAGAAATGTTGGGTTGAGTGTGAAATTAGTTGATGAAACGAGAAATCCTTCGCTCACCTCAGATCCAGAACTGTGTTGGTTTTAATATGTATCTGGTTATATCTGATAAAAATACAATCCACCTTAGTCAAGTGATTCTGATGACTCTATACCAAATCCAAAACGTCTTCTGATGACTCTATACCAAATCCAAAACGACAGATAACACTAAATTGAGTTTGTTAAAAATCAAAACATATAATGTGAGAAATTGATGCACAAGGGACCACCAATCCATTTGATCGAGGGCTGCTACAGGTTCACATGCATACAAAAGAAGGAAAAATTCGGTCTTCTAAGATGATAGCTGGTAACATCAAAAGTCATCAAAGCTAGTAAAAACCCATATATCTTGCCTCCTTTTCCGGTTTTCTTCTTCTTATTTTGGTTTTTTTCAACAGTTCGAAGGATACTTCTAACAAAAGCATACAAGGAGGAGAGTACAAAAAAACCCAAGCAAAAGCTTAGGCCAAAGCAGGAAAATGATAAGAAGGAACAAAGAAATAATAATAAGTCTACATGAACACTAAAAAAAGCCCTCTCTGTTTAGGGCGGACCTACAACATATGAGTTGTAGGTACCACGGCACCTGTAAGTTTAAAATTTTGTTAAGATCCTTGGTTTAATCTTTTAATAACTTGCACCCCTTAGTTAGCCCCTCTAAACTCTGAAAAATCACACCCCTAATTCTTAATTTTTTATTCCGCCCCTGTCCTTGCTACTCTGCTGCATCTTTTCTTCTTTCTTTGGTTCACTGGCTGGGGATACGGGAGAGTTTGATTGTTCAAAATTAATAATATTTGGGCTAAGAAATGGAGGAGATTTAATTTGTTGTTGTGTTTTTTTATAAATAATCCTATAAATTTGAGATTTCTGATTTTGACCTCATAAACTTTTACTTTTTAGCTGAAAAACCCACCACAGGTGGAATAGAGGCAATTATAACTTAGTCCCTGTGTTTATAAACAATACTTAATTAGTTACTATTATATAAGCTGATGAATAATTTAGTATTTGAATAAATATAAAATATAATTAAAAAATAATTGGCATATGAAGACATGTTATATGATATTTTTCCAATAAAATTATTTAATTATTATATTATTAAGTAGCATTTAGTTACTATCTTATAATAAAAAAAAAATCATGAAGAAAGAAATAAACATGAGATACAGTTATTTTTATCCCTTGTATCCCAAAACCTTACTAATAACAAAATGAAAAAAATGAAAAGTTCTATTTTCCACCTTTGAAGAAAGCCAAGGCTCCAACCAAAGGTGCATTGATGTACGTTGTTGGTTCTGATTGACTAGCATTGAGACGACTATCAAGAAATTGATCGTTGTTGTCTGGTCCTCCAACAATGGCCCCTACAAGGACGTTCCGGTTAGGCATTTTGGTCACCAAATAGCTGTTGCCATCATGACATCCAATATGCGCATGGAAAGCAGACATGGAAGGCAGGCTCGATCCTCTGTGATGAATTCTCTGTGGGAATTTTGGGCCATATCCAACCATGTACGACATCCCTAATGGATTGCTTCCTAGTATGTAATCCACCTGCATCAAGCAATGCGCCATTACTTCTTTTTTTCTTTCTTAATTTTAATGACCATGATTTTCTCAATGGGCTAGAAGTGGACTCGATAAGATATTTAAAACCTGGGTTTTGGCGACCTCGACGAGTCTCGACGGGGTGGTAACCACAGAACCGCAATGAACTGATCGGTTGGCAACTTGTAAATAGCGAGAGTAAACAATAAGAAGAAATGATAAAGCCGTTGCATGTTGCAAGTTACATCCTCCTGGTTTGAACATAAGCCCGCCTGATCGACATAAGAAATTCATCATTACCGAAAAGTTGGCAAGATATGGGGTAAATCAAGCTATCCAGAAAGATCGATGTCAGAAAATGCTACCTGGGGAGTATGTGACTGATTTGGTAGGTGACTCAGGCAACAAGGAACACACGAAACTGTCAGCATTGGTAACGAAGGAACTACCAGAGGAGTTCATCACCTTCTGTGGATCGAAATAAATCTTAGATTAAGCTAAAAATATTCACGAATGATAATTAGAAGAGAAAAATGGAGTTGAGTGATTACTGGAGAAACAAATATGTTAATCCCACTTTGTTTTGAATCCCATCCGAACTCAAAAATACTGCCTCCTAGAGTTGCCATGTTCTTTACAACATAATCCCAGTACTTGGGGTCCTGAGTTGCCTTGGATAACCATGCTGCTCCCCAGATCAGTTCATCCTGTAAGACAAATGTATTCATCATGTATATATGATAGTTTTAGATATTGGATAGATGGATCATTACCAATATTGTACTATAGTTTATAAAATCTTAGCAACTCCATATCTTTCGTTAATATTGTGATCAAATACATACATGGTAGCCATTGATATCGCAATAAAATGGGCATGCCCCTTGTCCGATACTTTCATTGTAAGATCCTTGATAATTGTTTGCAAAGTCGAAGACCTGAAAGATTATCAAGACATTGTATAGCATAATTAGAAGAGAGAAGAAATTAATTAGATATCAAAAGTGCATTGCCTTATAATTTAACAATTTTGACACCCACAATTGTTATTAACATTATAGAATTAGCTACTATCAATTACCTGGGATGCCCTCTGGAGAAGTACACTAGAATACCGTTTGTCTTTGTCCTTGAACGCGATAGAAGAGGCAGCTAGAGCAGCTGCAATCTCGGCTGAAACTTCTGATCCAGGATGGGTTTGATTAACAACGTAAGTAGTTCTGAGAGTGTCCATGTCTTCAGGTCTCTCCCAACATGTGTGGTCGCTGATGGGATCACCGACTTGGGCAACAACCATGCCAGGTCTTCTTGTGGCCTTCAGGAAATAGTCTGTTCCCCATCGTAGAGCATCTAACGCATGTTCCAAATCTGAGCCCATCGATTCACCAAACTCTACTATACTCCACGCCAACAACGTTGTTGTGAATGCCATTGGAAAATGGAATTTTACGTTGTCACCAGCATCATAGTACCCACCAACCATGTCCATCTACAAGAATGTTAAGAACATCATAGTTTCTTGTCAACAGTACGCACATAACTATATATATAGATTTCAATCGGGCCGGCATAAATGTGTTAAATTTTGGGTAGTTGGTTGGACTTTATTATGCATTGTATTTGTGCGTCCATAATTTATTAAATAAAACAAGCAGTATTTCTTGCGAAAATGAAAACATTGTACTTCAATTTTTATTAAAATTTATGTACTAAATGATATGATATAAAGAAAGTTATAAAAAAGATTGATCGGAACGCATTAATCATAAAAAGACACATCATTAAAAAAAAATACTAACATAATTGAAAATGGAGCTAGGTCTAACGTGTTTAGCATTTCTGGCTTTTCAAATAAAAAAGACTTGTTTAGAATTATTTTTGTGTGTTTTTTTACCGTTTTGATATATTGAATCAAAATAAATTTTAAAAATAAAAAACATGAAATGACAATGAACAAATTTACAAAAATAAAATAAAATTGACACCACTATTTAGCAAAGTACAAAAGCAAATCAGATGTTTATTTGTTAGTCAAGCATACAAAACCATTGAGCAAATTTGTGAACTGCATGCTTGAATATGCATGGAAAGACATAGCCACTTACACCAATATCAGATCCATCCCTAAGGGCAGAATCCTTCCTCCAATTCATCCTTTGATTAGAAGGCAACTTCCCTGATCTCTGCCCTTCGAAAAACAAGATGCTTTTTGTCAACGCATCTCCATAATCATGTGACATGGCTTCTGTCACCACCGTGACCCCTAACAACAACATTAGTACAGACATATCCATCATGCTCTTGCCACCCATTCTTTCTCTCAATGCCAATTCTCCTCTACTACCTAACGCATCTCCATAATCATGTGACATGGCTGCTGTCACCACCGTTACCCCTAACAACAACATTAGTACAGACATGTCCATCATGCTCTTGCCACCCATTCTTTATCTCAATTCCAATTCTCCTCTACTACCAATCAATTTAACAGGCATAATTGTCAACTCTCGATGCACTAATATATATAAATTAAGGGCTGAATGCTGATGAGGAAACCGTGTGTTCTGTTACCATTGTGATGTAATCTCGGTATAAGCTTGTTAGGAAAGCATTAACTCTATTCCCACTATGGTTTTGTTGTTAATTATATTTTTAAAGCCTAATTAATTACTAAGGTTTAGTTAAGTTCAGTGCATCATATGGTTTTGTTGTCATTTTATTACCGTCTTTGCTTGATACTTTTTACTTTATTTTATTGATGTTTCTAAAAAGGAAGTTGCAGGATGATTTGTTTCCAGTTCCAGTTCCCTTTATTGTTTCTGCATTTGTTGATTTACCATATATACATAAAAAAAAAATGTCATATATATCTACTAATATATGGACCATTCGAAATCTCTTTATGGATATTTTGACATGACGGATACGTTCCAGAGAAGATTCTAATCACATTGCTTGTCTATCTGTCATAGGAGGATTATCTAGTGCAGCGTACGGGTAACAATTTCATGTACAGATTTAAATGGGAAGTAATTTTATATTATATTAAAAATAATTAGTAAGCTCGTATTAATTGTTTTTTAAGAAATAATTAAATAGAAATAAATGGGAGAAAAAAAATTCTAAGTTAAAATATTCTTATTATTTTTAGTGGGTCATAAATTTTATTATTTTTTCTTATATTAGTATGTGTATTTTTGTTCAATGTGCATCCTATGACTAATTAATAGGATGTTATTAATTACTCATAATGCACTGCAAAATATATGGATATTATCACACATAATACACACACATTTATATCATATAGATATTAATGCATGAGCTTTTTTAAAAAAAAAATTATTTTCTTTATTTAATTTGATGTTTTCCTCTTCAGTGCTATTATACTTGTTTAGTTTTTTTTTCTATTTAAATGGAATAGTTTTTTCACTCTATTTTTTTTATTTAATATTACTAGGGTTTTCTAATTTTATTTCTATATAAAAGGATTGTAATATTTTGAAAAGTGGAGACTTTGATGAATACAAATTGTGTTCTTTGTTCTTGAGGGCTTTTACTTGTAATAAACATTGTTATACTTCATTTTCATTTGCATTATTAGTATCAAAACTCAAAATATTTTATTTTCATTTCCATTTGCATTAGTTAGTATCAAAACTCAAAAATATTTTATTTGTTTTTACTAGAGGATGTACATGATGTGTATTAAAGCTCACTAATTTCTGTATTTTTGGTTGGAGGATATAGAGAATATGTACAGAGCTCATTGATTTCTAGTAGTTAATTGTTATGAATAGTTTTTCATAATCTAATTTTTAACCCCTCTCAAGTATCCAACAAAGAGTCTGAAATATTAAAAAAAAAAGGAAAAAATAATTTGTTTCATAAATAAATAAATACTTCAAAAAATATATTTCAAAAAATTCAAGAAATTTAATTTAAAAAATAAAAGAAGAATAAAATACAATTATGGGTGAAATTGTGAAGAAAAATTGAGAAAATAATTGAAATCGGCTAAATAATTAAAAATTAGAAAGTCAGGGACCAAGTTGGAAAATCCACCAATATTGAGGGACTATTTTAATGTAATGAGGGATGAAATTGAGAAGAAATTAAGAGAAAGGGTTGGAATTGGATAAAAGATTGAATTGTAAAACCAATTACTAAGCTGGAAAAAGCATCAATATCAAGGGATCATTTGAAATGCAACCATGGACAAAATTGAAAGAAATATTAAGAAAAAAGGCTGGAATTGGTAAAAAACAATAATAAAGCCAAGGATAAAATTCAAAAAGGTGTTAAAACTGAGGAATCAATGTGCACATATGAAATTCCAATTAAATGAAATGGAGTCTTCTAGGCAAAATGAAGTTGTTTCATGCTTTAATTCAAAAAAGAAATTAAAAAAAAAGAAGCACCATAATGACATCATTTTGGTGCATTCTTTTAAATAATGTCCTTCTTCAGCATGCCTTCAACATTTTTTTTTCTTCATGTTAAAAATTAAAATTTAAAAAATTAGTGTTTCAACTACGTTATCAAATAAAGTCTATATTCTCACCTAAAACATGTATGCTCAGACCATTTAAATCCCCTAGAAAATTAGTGCAAAGAAGTCAACTTAAGCATGCTTAGTTAGAAAGTAAAAGGGAAGAGGTGCTAATTTAAAAAGCGAAAATTACGAAAGAGAGATAAATAGTGATGAGTTGAGAGAAGTGCGGGTTGGAGTTAGAAAGTAATCAAAAAAAAAAAAGGTTAAAGTAACTAAGTAATGTGTGTATGAAGAATGGGAGGAATTATTTTTTAAAAAATAAATTAAAATAATATTTTTTGATATCAACATATCTAAATAATCTAAAAATATAAAAAAATATTAATTTAAAGTAAAGACAAAAATAAAAAAAATCAAATATTTCAAAAATATTTCCAAAATGTAATGCTAAACACTTCTTCGAAGGCTCTCTTAATATTTAAGGTAGTATAAAGTATTACTGGAGAAACTCTTACAGAAATTAAATAAAATATGTAGAACTAAAGATAGGGGAGGAGAATAAATTCTAGGATTTTCTCAACATGTGAGATAACTTCCTTGTTAGCTAGCGTCCATGAAGTTTACATCGGCCTTCGTTAGCGGATTTGGGGAAAAAACTAGAGACCCTGTGCTTAATCTTGTCAGTAATAAATGAAACGTATATTTTTTAAAATATTTTTTATTTAAAAATATATATTAAAATAATAACTGATATTAGATAAATTTGAAAAATTGACCAGTAACAAGAGATTTATAAACGAGCCATGGCTTGGATTGAAGAGAAAATGTAAATACGAGCGAGCACTACAATATGTCGAACATTTGTTTCGACGATCTCTCAAACCCATGGCATGAAGCCTAGGGAGGTCTCCGCCACGAAAGATGGTGCAGAGGAGTTGAGTGGTGCGGTGAGCGAGCTTAGAACATCCCTCTGTTTTTTTGTTAATTTTAGGATAATGCTAGGAGAACTTGAGTGTTTTACTAATTAACATGGCATTAGTTTTAAGGAAAAGTTTTCAAACTATAGAATATGAATCTTATCGCATTTGGAGATATAATAATAATAATAATATAGAGTATATTAACCCCCATTTTGTGGTTGTATATTGCTGTACTGCTCTACCAACTCATTGGCAAAGAATATAATTATACTTGTAATTGTAATTGTAATTAATCCCTTTCTTCTCCTTTAAGGAGAAAAGAAAACATTAGGAACAGAATATCAGCAGGATGGGGGGGGGGGGGGGGTT